TTTAGGGTTTAGGGTTTAGGGTTTCGGGTTTACGGTTTAGGGTTGAGGGTTAAGGGTTTAGGGTTGAGGGTTTAGGGTTTAGGGTTGAGGGTTTGGCGTTTAGGGTTAAGGGTTTACGGTTAAGGGTTTAGGGTTTAGGGAACAGGCTCACGGCAGCGAGCTATCTCCAACAATCTGCAATAAACGACCCTTCAAAAGGGGGTGGGATCCAAAACGCAAACCCTAAACCAGAAGACCAAAACCCTAAACCCCCAATCCCCAACCCAAAAGCGCCAAAGACCATTATCCCTAAACCCCAAATTAAACCCTAAACCCTGAACCCTAAACCCTAAACCCCAAACCCTAAAGACCCTAAGGCCCCAAACCCTTTACCCTCAAACCCTAAATCCCGAAACCCCAAACCAAATCCCAAAACACCTAAACCCTAAGCCCTTAAACCCTAAACCCCTAAAACCCCTAAAACCCCTAAAACCCCTAAACCCGAAACCCATAAAACCCCCAAAGCCCCTAAAACCCCTAAAACCCCTGAACCCGAAACCCCCAAAACCCCTAAAACCCCTAAAACCCCCAAAACCCCAATCCCTAAGGCATCCCAAAGGCCTGCTCGTTGAGGCTCTTGATCCGAGCCAAAATCTCCTTCCTCCCCTCGAGGACCTCAGTAGGGTTTATTTAGGGCTTAGGGTTTAGGGTTTAGGGTTTAGGGTTTAGGGGTTTAGGGGTTTAGGGTCTAGGGCTTTCAGGGGTCTGCGGAGTTCCTGGGGCTTTAGATCCCCTTTAAGGGATTCCTTTCATGGATCCTGTATAGGGGTTCCTTTAAGGGATCCTTTAGGGATTCCTTTTAAGGGCTCCTTTGAGGGTCTCCTTTAAGGGATTCCTTTCTCCTTTAAGGGCTCCTTTAAGGGTTCCTTTTAATGGATCCTTTAGGGATTCCTTTAGGGGGTCCTTTAAGGGTCGCCTTGAAGGGATTCCGTTAATGGATCCTTTAAGGGATCCTCTGAGGGATCCTTTAGGGCCTCCTGTAAAGGATCCTTTAGGGGCTTTTTAAGGGATTCCTTTAAGGGCTCCTTTAAGGGATCCTTTAGGGGCTCCTGTAAAGGATTCCTGTAAGGGCTCATTTAAGGGATTTCTTTGAAGGATTCCTTTAGGGGCTCCTGTAAGGGCACCTTTAAGGACTCCTTTAAGGGATTCGCTTAATGGATCCTTTAGGGGCTCCTGTAAAGGATTCCTTTAAGGGATCCCTTAAGGGATCCTTTATGGGTTCCTTTAAGGGCTCCGTTAATAGGGCTCCTTTAAGGGATCCTTAGGGTTCCTTTAGGGGTTCCTTTCAGGGCTCCTTTAAGGGAAAGGATCGGTGAAGGATCTGAACAATTTAGGCTGCCTGCTGTGTCGGGTATTTTAAGGCTTCAGGGCACTCAGGCTAAGTTTAGGGCTTAGGGAGTTTAGGGTTCGGGGCCTTTGGGGAAGTTTTAAGAAGTTAGTCCCTTGAGGGTTACTAGAACACTAGAACAGAACACTGTTCCAAACATCAAGGCCCCTGGATTAATATACTCGCAACTTCTGCACCCTCTTCTTCTTCGAACATCCGCGAAGTGGCCTCCTCAGTTCCATTCCACTGGTAACTCAGCTTGGGCTGCTCTGACTTCCTGAGCGGTGTAGGGTTTAGGGGTTAAGGTTTAGGGGTCTGGGGGTTTAGGGGTTTGGGGGTCTAGGGTTCAGGAATTGGGGCCCTGGGCTTGGGTCGGAGAGTCATGATGCTACGGATTTAGCACTAGGTGGCATCCGGTGACGGATAGCTCACCTTTCTGGTGCCCGGCTGGGTGCGGTTTTTGGGTGGCCGGACATGATGAGCTCGAACCACAGACTTCCGGAGTAAGGCTTCAGGGTTACCACCAAAGGCCGCAGCGCCAGGCTAAAACCCCCATGACCGACTTTTAAATCCTACTTCCCTATAAGCCAGGGAAATACAAGTTTAAACTTTCAGATTACTTTCAAATTATAAGAACCCAAAAAGTCCGCCGACCCTGGCGGCGTGTTGGATGGGTCTCGATTCGGATTCGATGGGTTTGGAGGTGTTAACCTCCCTT